GGGAGAAGGGAAACAGGGATGTGATAAGGATGCAGGGTAGAGCTGAGCGAAGAATCAATTCCGGAATCGATTCCCACGACTATTGCAAGGGTGAAAAAGTTCCCTTTGACGAAACCCAACGGTCACCAGTTTCTTGAATCATTAAAATCTTCTTTTTTAAAGAATGTATCTTTGAAAAATAAAAGTTAATGCTTCGGAGTGTTCCGAAATCAAGGTTATCCTAAATCCTGAAGATATTCTGAGCCAACAAGGTAACCATCGGAGGAAATACATCATTAGAAAGTAAGGAATTGGGATCGGAGTCGATTCCTACGATTCCTAGCTTTCAATAATCGGAAACCTAGCCTCCCAGCACTAATGCAGGGGGGATGTTTTGCTTTTGTTTTTCTTTTATGTTGGGTACGTTGTTTTGTTTTTTGGTTGGTTTTTGTGGGGGCGGGGAGGGGGGGGGGGGGAGTGTAGACTAAATAGACGTTAGGATGGCACAGACTTCAAAATAAATCCATACTAATTTTTGCCAAACCTGACTTCAGAAACGTCGTCTAACTGTGAAAGAGGCGGGGAGGAGGGACGGATGGATGTGATGAGGATGTGGAGGGACCTTTTGTTTTGTTTTTGATTGATGTTGGGTTGTTTGGTTTTTTTGGGGGGAGTAGTCTAAAAGTCGTTACGAAGGCACAAAGTTCAAAAATAAATCCGTACAATTTCTTGCCAACCCTGACCTCAGAAACGTCTTCAAACTGTGGGAGAGGCGGGGAGGAGGGAAGCATGGATGAGATGTGGTAGCAGTTTGCAGGGGATAGTCTAAATCGTCGATAAAAATGTACGACAATACAACACAATTTCCAAACAAATTCAATATATTATTATTAATTAATTCTTTCCAAATCTGACCTCTGAGGCGGAGAGGAGAAAAGGACGGATGTGATAAGGATGAGGGGGAAGTTGTTTTTTTTGGTGGGGTTTTCAAATGTGGGGAGCGTAATCTAAATAGTCGTTAAGAAGGAACACATTTCAAAATAAATCCATACTAATTCTTGCCAACCTGACCTCGGGTACGTCATCAAACTGTGAGAGAGGCGGGGAGGAGGGAAGGACTGACGTGATGTGGTTGATCTGTGGAGAGTACAGATGTTTGTTTTTGGCAACCGCCGAGA